AGGATATTAACATAAAGACAGTTTAACAAAGAGGAAGAGGGATATTAACGTAAATACAGTTTAACATGGAGGAAGAGGGATATTAACATGAAGACAGTTTAACAAAAAGGCATTGGGATATTAACATAAAGACAGTTTAAAATGGAGGAAGAGAGATATTAACATAAAGACAGTTTAAAGTGGAGGAAGAGGGACATTAACATAAAGACAGTTTAACGTGGATGAAGGGGGGAATTAACATAAAGACAGTTTAACAAAGAGGCAAAGGGATATTTACATTAAGACAGTTTAACAAAGAGGAAGAGGGATATCAACATAAAGACAGTTTAAAATGGAGGAAGACGGATGTTCATATAAAGAAAGTTTTAAATGGAGGCAGAGGGATATTTACATAAAGACAGTTTAACAAAGAGGAAGAGGGATGTTAACATAAAGTCAGTTTAACATGGAGGAAGAGGGATATTAACATGAAGACAGTTTTACAAAGAGGAAGAGGGATATTAACATAAAGACAGTTTAACAAAAAGACAGAGGGATATTAACATAAAGACAGTTTAACATGGAGGAAGAGGGATATCAACATAAAGACAGTTTAAAATGGAGGAAGAGGGATGTTCATATGAATACAGTTTTAAATGGAGGAAGAGGGATGTTCATATAAAGAAAGTTTTAAATGGAGGAAGAGGGATATTTACATAAAGACAGTTTAACCAAAAGGCAGAGGGATATTAACATAAAGACAGTTTAACGTGGAAGAAGAGGGATATTAACATAACGACAGTTTAACAAATAGGAAAAGAGATATTTACATTAAGACAGTTTAACAGAGAGGAAGAGGGATATTAACATAAAGACAGTTTAACATGGAGGAAGAGGGATATCAACATAAAGACAGTTTAAAATGGAGGAAGAGGGATATTAACATAAAGACAGTTTAATGTGGAGGAAGAGGGATATTAACATAAAGACAGTTTAACATGGAAGAGGAAGGATATTAACATAAAGACAGTTTAACTAAGAGGAAGAGGGATAATAACGTAAAGACAGTTTAACAAAAAGGCAGAGCGATATTAACATAAAGACAGTTTAACGTGGAGGAAGAGGGATGTTAACATAAAGACAGATTAACATGGAGGAAGAGGGATATTAACATAAAGACAAGTTAACATGGAGAAAGAGGGATATTAACATAAAGACTGTTTAAAATGGAGCAAGAGGGATATCAACATAAATACAGTTTAAAATGGAGGAAGAGGGATGTTCATATAAAGAAAGTGTTAAATGGAGGAAGAGGGATATTTACATAAAGACAGTTTAACTAAGAGGAAGAAGGGATATTAACGTAAAGACAGTTTAACAAAAAGGCAGAGCGATATTAACATAAAGACAGTTTAACATGGAGGAAGAGGGATATTTTACAGAAAGACAGTTTAACATGGAGGAAGAGGGATATTAACATAAAGACAGTTTAACGTGGAGGAAGAGGGATATTAACATTAAGACAGTTTAACAAAGAGGAAGCATGATATTAACATAAAAACTGTTTAACATGGAGGAAGAGGGAAGTTAACATAAAGACAGTTTAACATGGAGGAAGAGGAATAGTAACATAAAGACAGTTTAAAGTGGAGGAAGAGGGATATTAACATAAAGACAGTTTAACAAAGAAGAAGAGGGATATTAACATAAATACAGTTTAAAATGGAGGAAGTGGAATGTTCATATAAAGAACGTTTTAAATGGAGGAAGAGGGATATTTACATAAAGACAGTTTAACAAAGCGGAAGAGGGATATTAACATAAAGACAGTTTAACACAAAGGCAGAGAGATATTAACATAAAGACAGTTTAACGTGGAGTAAGAGGGATATTAACATAACAACAGTTTAACGTGGAGGAAGATGGATTTAACATAAAGACAGTTTAACAAAGAGGAATAGGGATATTTACATAAAGACAGCTTAACAAGAAGGATCGAGGGATATTAACATAAAGACAGTTTTAACAAAGAGGAAGAGGTATATTAACATAAACACAGTTTAACATGGAGGAAGAGGGATGTTAACATAAAGATAGTTTAACATGGAGGAAGAGGGATATTAACATAAAGTCAGTTTAGATGGGAGGAAGAGGGATGGTAACATAAAGACAGTTTACATGGAGGAAGAGGGATATTAACATAAAGTCAGTTTAACATTGTGGAAGAGGGATATTAACATAAAGACAGCTTAGATGGGAGGAAGAGGGATATTAACATAAAGACAGTTTAACATGGAGGAAGAGGGATATTAACATGAGGACAGTTTAAAATCGAAGAGGAAGGATATCAACATAAAGACAGTTTAACATAGAGGAAGAGCGATATTAACGTAAAGACAGTTTAACATGGAAGAAGAGGGATATTAACATAATGACAGTTTAACATAGAGGAAGAGGTATATTAACATAAAGACAATTTAACATGGAGGAAGAGGGATATTAACATAAAGACAGTTTAACATGGAGGAAGAGGGATATTAATATAAAAACAGTTTAACAAAGAGGAAGAGGGATATTAACATAAAGACAGTTTAACGCGGAGGAAGAGGGATATTAACCCTCCCTGGAAGACCAGAGAGGAGGGTAGGCTTTTACAGTTCAACCGTGTTGGCAGCTCCATCCCTCCTTATGTGTGTTGCAGCTGCTTGGGCCAAGCCAGCATTAGCATGCTGAAGATGCTTATGTAAACTGTCATTGGCTACGTCCCAAATTGCAACTTATTCCCTATAAAGTGCATCTTATTCCCTATAAAGTGCACCACCCATAGGGCTGTGGTCTAAAGTAGTGCACTATGTAGGGAATAGGGTAGGACACTATGTAGGGAATAGGGTGTCATTTGGGATTCAACCATGCTGTTGGAGCTGGGCCAATGTGGGAATTTCTGCTCTGAATTGGGCCACTATCTATTCTGTGAGAGATGCTTGGTTTTATACTGGGGTTGATTTGAGTTCTGTTACCGGAATATAATTAATTGCACTTTGGTAGTAAAAAGCATGCTCTGACAGGGAAATTTGGTGATGGAAATTGTTTATACACTGCTCAAAAAAATAAAGGGAACACTAAAATAACACTTCCTAGATCTGAATGAATGAAATAATCTTGTTAAATACTTTTTTCTTTACATAGTTGAATGTGCTGACAACAAAATCACACAAAAATTATCAATAGAAATCAAATTTATCAACCCATGGAGGTCTGGATTTGGAGTCACCCTCAAAATTAAAGTGGAAAACCACACTACAGGCTGATCCAACTTTGATGTAATGTCCTTAAAACAAGTCAAAATGAGGCTCAGTAGTGTGTGTGGCCTCCACGTGCCTGTATGACCTCCCTACAACGCCTGGGCATGCTCCTGATGAGGTGGCGGATGGTCTCCTGAGGGATCTCCTCCCAGACCTGGACTAAAGCATCCGCCAACTCCTGGACAGTCTGTGGTGCAACGTGGCGTTGGTGGATGGAGCGAGACATGATGTCCCATATGTGCTCAATTGGATTCAGGTCTGGGGAACGGGCGGGCCAGTCCATAGCATCAATGCCTTCCTCTTGCAGGAACTGCTGACACACTCCAGCCACATGAGGTCTAGCATTGTCTTCCATTAGGAGGAACCCAGGGCCAACCGCACCAGCATATGGTCTCACAAGGGGTCTGAGGATCTCATCTCGGTACCTAATGGCAGTCAGGCTACCTACCTCTGGCAAGCACATGGAGGGCTGTGCGGCCCCCCAAAGAAATACCTCCCCACACCATGACTGACCTACCGCCAAACCGGTCATGCTGGAGGATGTTGCAGGCAGCAGAACGTTCTCCACGGCGTCACCAGACTCTGTCACGTCTGTCACATGTGCTCAGTGTGAACCTTCTTTCATCTGTGAAGAGCACAGGGCGCCAGTGGCGAATTTGCCAATCTTGGTGTTCTCTGGCAAATGCCAAACGTCCTGCACGGTGTTGGGCTGTAAGCACAACCCCCACCTGTGGACGTCGGGCCCTCATACCACCCTCATGGAGTCTGTTTCTGACCGTTTGAGCAGACACATGCACATTTGTGGCCTGCTGGAGGTCATTTTGCAGGGCTCTGACAGTGCTCCTCCTGCTCCTCCTTGCACAAAGGCGGAGGTAGCAGTCCTGCTGCTGGGTTGTTGCCCTCCTACGGTCTCCTCCACGTCTCCTGATGTACTGGCCTGTCTCCTGGTAGCGCCTCCATGCTCTGGACACTACGCTGACAGACACAGCAAACCTTCTTGCCACAGCTCGCATTGATGTGCCATCTTGGATGAGCTGCACTACCTGAGCCAATTGTGTGGGTTGTAGACTCCGTCTCATGCTACCACTAGAGTGAAAGCACCGCCAGCATTCAAAAGTGACCAAAACATCAGCCAGGAAGCATAGGAACTGAGAAGTGGTCTGTGGTCACCACCTGCAAAACCAGTCCTTTATTGGGTGTGTCTTGCTAATTGCCTATAATTTCCACCTGTTGTCTATTCCATTTGCACAACAGCATGTGAAATGTATTGTCAATGTTTTGTTGTCAGTGTTGCTTCCTAAGTGGACAGTTTGATTTCACAGAATTGTGATTGACTTGGAGTTACATTGTGTTGTTTAAATATTCCCTTTATTTTTTTGAGCAGTGTATAAATGTTTTGAGTTGATTGACCTGTCAGTGTAATGCACTAAAGGCAACACTATATCGTCACCTCTTTCACTGTCCCACCTCCACCAACCCTATCTGAACATCATGGAACTAAGGCCTCTTCCAACATGGATAGAAACATCATGAATTATAAACCTGCAACTACTGCTCAATCAGTCAATCAGTCAGTCAATCAATCAGATACCCAGCCGAAGTAAAATCAGTCTGAATAAACTGTTTTGTAATAAACTCAATTGTGATTGGTCCATCTCTCAGGTGTTTGCCACCTACCCCAATGAGGACTATGACCGTCGGAACGAGGACGTGGACCCCATGGCTGCATCTGCCGAGTACGAGCTGGAGAAGAGGGTGGAGAGGCTCGATCTGTTCCCCGTCACACTGGAGAAAGGTACACCTCAGCTCAGTTACCCCCATAACCTTAATCTGGGATTCAGTTACCCCCATAACCTTAATGTGGCATTCTGGGATTCAGTTACCCCCATAACCTTAATGTGGCAATCTGGGATTCAGTTACCCCCATAACCTTAATGTGGCAATCTGGGATTTAGTTAGACAATACAGAAATGCAATACAGGAAGTTAACATAGGGTAAAAGGGCTGTCACAGGAAAACATTAAATTGAAAAGCTATTATGAAACAAAAGAGCATTTCATTTTCATTATGGATTAGGATGACTATGATTTTATTTACTTCTCACAGTTGGGACTGCATTTCTCCTCTATCCACTGTGTCCTCAGATGGTGATGGACTGGGTATCAGTATCATTGGGATGGGGGCGGGGGCAGACATGGGCCTGGAGAAACTGGGCATCTTTGTCAAGACGGTCACCGATAAAGGAGCAGCGCACAGGGACGGCAGGTACGTCACAAAAAAAAGTTTCCCCCTCCCCAACACATTCCCCCAACCCCCTCAGTCCCCCTCCCCAACCCATTCCCCCAACCCCCTCAGTCCCCCTCCCCTCCCCAACCCATTCCCCTAACCCCCTCAGTCCCCCTCCCCTCCCCAACCTGTTCCCCCAACCCCCTCAGTCCCCATCCCCTCCCCTCCCCAACCCATTCCCCCAACCCCCTCCCCAACCCATTCCCCCAACCCCCTCAGTCCCCCTCCCCAACCCTTCCCCAACCCCCTCAGTCCCCCTCCCCAACCCATTCCCCCCACCCCCTTGTCCCCCTCCCCATCCCATTCCCCCAACCACCTCAGTCCCCCTCCCCAACACATTCCCCCCAACCCCCTCAGTCCCCCTCCCCAACCCATTCCCTCAACCCCCTCAGTCCACCTCCCAACCCATTCCCCCAACCCCCTCAGTCCCCCTCCCCAACCCATTCCCCCAACCCCCTCAGTCCCCCTCCCCAACCCATTCCCCAACCCCCTCAGTCCCCATCCCCATTCCCCAACCCCCTCAGTCCTCCTCCCCAACCCATTCCCCCAACCCCCTCAGTCCCCCTCCCCAACCCATTCCCCCAACCCCCTTGTCCCCCTCCCCAACCCATTCCCCCAACCCCCTCAGTCCCCCTCCCCAACCCATTCCCCCCAACCCCCTTGTCCCCCTCCCCAACCCATTCCACCAACCACCTCATGCCCCCTCCCCAACACATTCCCCCAACCCCCTTGTCCCCCTCCCCAACCCATTCCCTCAACCCTCCTCAGTCCCCCTCCCCAACCCATTCCCCCAACCCCCTCAGTCCCCCTCCCCAACCCATTCCCCAACCCCCTCAGTCCCCCTCCCCAACCCATTCCCCCCAACCCCCTCAGTCCCCATCCACCCGCCTGCATCCTCCCTCCCTCCCCACCCGGAAACCATGTTTCCCACCCCTTTCCACACCGCCTAACCCCCCTCCTCCTGCATCTTCATCTGTCCAACCTCACCCCTTCCCATCTCGTCCAGCAACTGAGGTTGCTTATCAGTCCCCCTCCCACCCAGTTGACTAATTGAATCAGGTGTGCAAATTTAGGGAGGGTTGGGAAACCCTGGTTTAAGAGATAGTTCAATGAACATCATTTCCTCCAGGGCAATGGGAGCCACCATATTTCTCTCTATTGTCAGCCAGGGAGTAGAAGAGTGATGTCTAAACCATTGGGTGAAATGCTAGTGCTTGGATTTAATGATTAATGATGATTTAATAATCTAAGAAGCAATCAAGCATGTGAGATGAGCCAGACTTGTGTGTCTAGTAGTAGTATTAACATCTTGGTCTAGCTTGCTGATTTGATATAGTTCCTTGTGTGAGCAGGTCTCGCTTGCAAAATAGATTTCTATCTCAATGAGACAAACCTGTATAAATAAAAGTTGAATGAAAAATGAGTGAAAAAGTAAGCATGTTCTAAGAGTCCTGACTGAGGTTGTTGTGCTGCTTTGTGTTTCTCCATCCAGGATCCAGGTGAATGACCTGATAGTGGAGGTGGATGGGACCAGTCTGGTGGGGGTAACCCAGACCTTCGCTGCTTCTGTCCTCAGGAACACCACAGGCACCGTCAAGTGAGGATTCGTTTTTGGGGATACATCCCAAATGGCACCTTATTCCCTTTATAGTGCACTACCGTTGACCAGAGTCCAACTACTGCTGCTTTTAAAACAATTTTAAAACAATTAGCTACTGAGAGAGAATAGAGTTGCTTTGATGGATGTCGCTCTCAAACACTTGAATACAGTTAAATTGCTTGGCCCTGTATGAAGTTGGACCCATCAAGTCTGATCTCTACTCTATTGTCTTTGTAGTATAGCGTGATGCCAGACACCATTAAGGTTTTCTGTAGACATGTTCTTCTTAGTTTGCAGCAGCTTTAGATTCTAGCGAGACTGGCAAAATGACCACACACTGTGTAGATCAGGTCATGCAGAGTAGTCATCAGAAGCCAAATAGGGCCATGATGATAGTAGGATGAAGAGCCACCACTTCCTTTCAGAGATATAGCAACAGAACCACAGCAGAACCACAGCAGAACCACAGCAGAACCACAGCAGAACCACAGACAAAGCTCAAACTCTACATTTGGACCATAGAAGAGCATAAAAACATCACCATCATCCTCACAGCAGGCATCAACACAATTATCATTCTGAAATGCCAATCTATTTGTGGATGACTGAATGGGGCACCAGAGTCATCTGCCTGTTCCCCAATCCCCAACACTCCTTTGTCATCCTATAGGCTCATTCATTCATAATTCAGGAACTAGTGGTCAGTGGAGCTATGCGGGTAATTGTTAGCGTGTGGTGTGTGGTGTGTCTGTGTTTGCATGTGTGCGTGTGTGTGTGCGTGTGCGTGTGCGTGTGTGCGTGTATAATTGTTAGTGTTGTGTGACTTGTCGAAGATCAGGGCCCTCTTCAGAGATTGCTCATGAATTATAGAACAGGGTAGACGGGGAAGGAAATGCTGAGGCAGGCGGTCAGTCGGTCAGTCCTATTCATAAAAATATCAGCCAAGGGAATGGATGGATGGATGAGGATGGGAACTGTGTTGGTTAGCATTTAATTAGCTGATAGTTAGCGGAGGGAATTGTAAGGCTGTTGTGGTCGTCTTGATAACTGACTGACTATGGGTAGTCATTCTGAACTACTCAGATTCCTCTTACATAGCTGAGGAAGGTATTACACTGAAAAACATGTCTCTCTCGGAGCATACTGTATATTGAGTCAAAATAATCTAAATGTTGAAAGAGGCTATATAATTCTGATTATTTAACCTCTTGCTAAGGGACCATATCATATAGGTTCCTCTTATTGCAGTCCACATAGGAAGACGTTTTCAAAAGCTGTGTAATTGTATGCAGGTTTCTGATTGGTCGAGAGAAGCCGGGCGAGCAGAGTGAGGTGGCCCAGCTGATCCAACAGACCCTGGAACAGGAGCGCTGGCAGAGAGAGCTGATGGAACAACGCTACAGCCAGTACATGGAGGACCAAGAGGTAGGTCTCCAACCAATCTACAATCAGTCAACAATCAGTCTACAACTAGTCTATATTCAGTCTACAACCAGCATAGGTAGGTCTACAACCAATCTACAGCCAGTGAATGGACAACCAAGAGGTACAGTACAGATGGACAGAAAGACTTGTCCAATAAGAATACAGATGTTTGCTTTATGTTACAAAAGGATTTGCTACTGTGTGCCCTAAGGAACATGACCCTGAACACTGATGGTTTAGAGACAGAAACAGAAACCTGGCCACTATTTGAATTGTTCAAATGACTATTAAGCTTTTTAGGTCAATCTTTGCCTTTGTGTGTTCTCTTTCCCCCTCAGCTTTAGGATTAAGATATGTGTGCCAATCGCATCTTTGTCAGAATGGACCCGGTGGCTGTATTGAGTGAGCTGAATGGGCGTGTGTCCATAGGTACGCTGTTACTGTTCAGTGTAGCCTGCAGACAGTATAAACACAAGTCTGCTTCCCAAAATACACTATTCTTCCTCAGGGCTCTGGTCAAAGGTAGTGCACTATATAGACTATATAGACAGTAGGATGCCATTTGGGACACATCCCAACAGGTCAGTTCAGAGAGTCCCCCTAGGACTCCTTTTTTAATCTGTTTATGATGTTTTGGCCACTTCCTCTCTGGGTTGTTGGGGGTAGAGATTTTATAGGACATCCAACCCACAATTGGTTCAGGTCATCAGCACAGTCCAAGCTCTTCTCTGTCCTGGCACCCCAATGGTGGAACCAGCTTCCCCCTAAAGTCAGGACAGCGGAGTCCCTGTCCATCTTCCGAAAACATCTGAAACCCTACCTCTTTGAAGAGTATCTTAAATAATTATCACGGCGCCCCCGATGCCCCCCTCAAAAAGGCACTTGTATCTTCCTACTAGCTCTGACTTTGCTGATGAATACTTATTTGAGGGAAAATGTACTTGATACGCTTGTGATGTGTTGTCCCACCTAGCTATCTTAAGATGACTGCACTAACTGGAAGTCGCTCTGGATAAGAGTGTCTGCTAAATGACTCAAATGTAAATGTCATCACCTATCACAAGGAGGATGTTTTGACCTCTATCCAATCAAAATCCTATGAGGATGCAGGACATTCTTAAATTCTCCATCTTATTACGATGACATGCAGAATGATAGCATAAATGCTGAGGTTTAGTTCTGGTGTGTTCTCACCCCCTATCTAGGGACCTGCTTCACTGGTGTTATATGCCATCTAGTGGCCAGTCTCAGTATCAATAGAGAACCAACCATTATAATAACCATGAAGCTCTTGTAGAGGCAGCAGTCACAGGCAATTATAAAAATGCTGTGGGATGGATGGATGGATGGATGGATGGATGATGGACGGATGGATGAATGGATGGATGGAACTATATTGAACCTATTCAAAGATGCAGACACTTTGGCCCTCTCAATTAAGACCTGGAGGCATTGTGGAAAACCCCAGACCCAATAGAGACTTCAGGCTCACTTGTCCGCTCTTCCCCCAGGGTGGTGAATATGGTACTGACGAGGAGGAGGATGAGGAGGAAGAGGTCAGCCCCACACATCCCTCTGCCATCGAGGTGTTTGACCTGGCTGAGAACGAGGACATCTCTCACCTGGAGACGGACCCTGAGAAGCTAGCCCATAAGAACCAGGAAGTGAGAGGAGACAAAGTTAAAGACAAATTCCTGATATAGTACACTACTACACTCTATTCCTGATATAGTACACTACTACACTCTATTCCTGATATAGTACACTACTACACTCTATTCCTGATATAGTACACTACTACACTCTATTCCTGATATAGTACACTACTACACTCTATTCCTGATATAGTACACTACTACACTCTATTCCTGATATAGTACACTACTACACTCTATTCCTGATATAGTACACTACTACACTCTATTCCTGATATAGTACACTACTACACTCTATTCCTGATATACAGTTGAAGTCGGAAGTTTACATACACCTTAGCCAAATACATTTAAACTCCGTTTTTCACAATTCCTGACATTTAATCCGAGTACAAATTCCCTGTCTTAGGTCAGTTAGGATCACCACTTTATTTTAAGAATGTGAAATGTCAGAATAATAGTAGAGATAATTATTTATTTCAGCTTTTATTTCTTTCATCACATTCCCAGTGGGTCAGAAGTTTACATACACTCAATTAGTATTTGGTAGCATTGCCTTTAAATTGTTTAACTTGGGTCAAATGTTTCGGGTAGCCTTCCACAAGCTTCCCACAATAAATTGGGTGAATTTTGGCCCATTCCTCCTGACAGAGCTGGTGTAACTGAGTCAGGTTTGTAGGCCTCCTTGCTCGCACACGCTTTTTCAGCTCTGCCCACAAATGTTCTATAGGATTGAGGTCAGGGCTTTATGATGGCCACTCCAATACCTTGATTTTGTTGTCCTTAAGCCATTTTGCCACAACTTTGGAAGTATGCCTGGGGTCATTGTCCATTTGGAAGACTCATTAGCGACCAAGCTTTAACTTCCTGACTGATGTCTTGAGATGTTGCTTCAATATATCCACATAATTTTCCTTCCTCATGATGCCATCTATTTTGTGAAGTGCACCAGTCCCTCCTGCAGCAAAGCACCCCCACAGCATGATGCTGCCACCCCTGTGCTTCACGGTTGGGATAATGTTCTTCAGCTTGCAAGCAACCCCCTTTTTCCTCCAAACATAACGATGGTCATTATGGCCAAACAGTTCTATTTTTGTTTCATCAGACCAGAGGACATTTCTCCAAAAAGTACGATCTTTGTACCCATGTGCAGTTGCAAACCGTAGTCTGGCTTTTTTATGGCGGTTTTGGAGCAGTGGCTTCTTCCTTGCTGAGCGGCCTTTCAGGTTATGTCGATATAGGACTCGTTTTACTGTGGATGTAGATACTTTTGTACCTGTTTCCTCAAGCATCTTCACAAAGTCCTTTGCTGTTGTTCTGGGATTGATTTGCACTTTTCGCACCAAAGTACGTTCATCTCTAGGAGACAGAACGCGTCTCCTTCCTGAGCGGTATGACGGCTACGTGGTCCCATGGTGTTTATACTTGCGTACTATTGTTTGTACAGATGAACGTGGTACCTTCAGGCATTTGAAAATTGCTCTCAAGGATGAACCAGACTTGTGGAGGTCTACAATTTTTTTTCTGTGGTCTTGGCTGATTTTTTTTATATTTTCCTATGATGTCAAGCAAAGAGGCACTGAGTTTAAAGGTAGGCCTTGAAATACATCCACAGGTACACCTCCAATTGACTCAAATGATGTCAATTAGCCTATCAGAAGCTTCTAAAGCCATGACACATTTTCTGGAATTTTCCAAGCTGTTTAAAGGCACAGTCAACTTAGTGTATGTAAACTTCTGACCCACTGGAATTATGATGCAGTGAATTATAAGTGAAATAATCTGTCTGTAAACAATTGTTGGAAAAATTACTTGTGTCATGCACAAAGTAGATGTCCTAACCGACTTGCCAAAACTATAGTTTTGAAATTTGTGGAGTGGTTGAAAAACGAGTTTTAATGACTCCAACTTAAGTGTATGTAAACTTCCGACTTCAACTGCTTACTCTCCCCCTCTCTCTCCCTCTGTCTCTCTCTCTCTCTCTCTCTCTCTCTCTCTCTCTCTCTCTCTGTCTCTCTCTGTCTCTCTCTCTCTCTCTCTCTCTCTCTCTCTCTCTCTTTCTCTCTGTCTATCTCTCTCTCGCTCGCTCTCTCTCCGCAGCTTCACATAAAGCATGCTGTAACACAGGCAGAGATCCAACAGCTGAAAAGAAAGGTTGTTATATTATGTCATTCTTATTATGTCCTAATGTTTAATTGTACAATATGGCCAGTTGATATACAGTGGCCTTTACGGTTTTCATCCCCCATGTGCTTCTCCACACTCCCAGCTGAACCATGCAGAGCAGGACAAGCAGCGCTGGCGTGTGGACAAGACCCAGCTGGAGCAGACCCTGCGGGAGAACAAGGAGCGCATGGAGAAGCTGGAGGGCTACTGGATGGAGGCCCAGAGTCTGTGTCAGGCTGTGGACGAGCACCTGAAGGAGACCCAGGTCCAGTACCAGGCTCTGGAGCGCAAGTACAGCAAGGCCAAGCGCCTCATCAAGGAGTACCAGCAGAAGTAAGGCCGGGACACGCACACACACACGCACACGCACTGCATTGAGAGTGTGGTAATGTTGTACATAAGAGGTCAATACATTGTACATTGTTCAGTCTGCGCCAATGTCTCCAATGTTTCAGCCCCAAGGCCTTCCTCAGAGCTTATTCATTACAGTGGAAAGAGAAGTGGTTTATAGTGGTGTGACTGGTGTCTCTGTGATGGCTCCTCTCCAGGGAGATTGAGTACCTGAAGAAGGAGACTCAGCGCTGTGTACAGGACGGGGCCGAGGCATCAGTGAGGGAGGAGTCAGGACAGCTCCATGAACAGGTAATAGTGGAGACTGATGGTTGTATGTGGGGTTCCTGGGTTCGATTCCCGCTGGGGTCACCAATACGAAAAATATATGCATGCATGACTGTAAGTCGCTTTGGATGAAAGTGTCTGTTAAATGGCATATACTACTGTTATATTATAAAAGTCATCATGTGCAGCCATCAGGGAGACCATTGGTTACGCAGAACGTTGGCAAAGCAGTTGCAGACAACTTTGTGTATGAGAAACTTGATTGAATGTATTTTGGTAACAAGTAAAGTTTCTAGTAGTCTATCATCATAATACACAACCATAATGAGTATGTGTTTGTTTGCAGGTAGCAGATCTGGAATGCATTGTTGAGGAGCTGAAATCTGAACCTTTATAAAAGCCTTGTTTCCTAAGAGAGTCTCTTCAAGAACTTCAAGAAGTGAATATGAGGATAGTGTTATTGTACTTGCAGTGGACCCAGGATATTTATTGTCTCAAACTTTAGCCTGGTTTGCGGTCGAATACAGGTACCCTCAGGCTTTGTATTGCTGCATATAATCTCTTTATCTAACAACCCTTTCAATCATGTTTTGTTTTGTTAAGATTTCCCAGGTGGAAATATTGGCTATGGCTACTAGTTTGACAGTTTAATCAACCTTTTTCTTAACATTCAAAAATACTGACAAGAACTTCTGTGGAGCTCTAACCGTTGCTGTTCCGAATTTTTCATTCCCAGTGTTCAGTATTTGACAATTTGATCACCAATAGTGTGTTTGGGTGAATTAGAAGACCAGGCTTTTGATTTCAATTGCCAAAACAAATTCATTTTCTTTCTTTTATTTGCCTATTTTGTTTTGCGACGTTTCATTTTCTGGATTGTCATTGTACAGTTGTAATACTGTATGTGGTTTATAAAACAAAAGTTTGAGTTTGTATATATTTTTATTAATGTATAACATTTAACATATATAGGATGAACTAATGGAGTCAACAGTTGGTGCATATGATAACTTATGTGACTGAGGAAGATGTGTAAATTGTCAAACGTCGACACTGGAGAAGATATAGCTGGATTGAACGTTTGGTGCTTCACTGGAATGAAAGGGACAAGAAGAGATGGGCTATCTCCTTCTACAATTACATCAACAATCCAACCTTTGCAGGGGTTTGGCACTTCAAACAGTCAACTGCTGCCACAGCCATAAAGTCTGTGTATTGATAGTCAACTGCTGCCACAGCCATAAAGTCTGTGTATTGTTAGTCAACTGCTGCCACAGCCATAAAGTCTGTGTATTGTTAGTCAACTGCTGCCACAGCCATAAAGTCTGTGTATTGTCAGTCAACTCCACTACCCAGTAATGCTACTGATGGGATTCAGTAAGAACATACTAAACCTTCAGTAATAACCCCTTTCTTATTTCTGTAACTCAACTTACATAACATAACTCCTTGTAAAAAGGAGAGAAATCCTCCATATCTGCTGTGCCACAAAAGGGACATGACATGATTGAAATTTGATTTTCAATTTTAATTTTTTTGTGAATGTTATCAAAGATGTGTTCAACACTGACTGAATGGCATACACAAGAACTGGTGATGGAAAGGTGTTGGGAAACACAACTGGGTCATGTTCATTAGGAACCAAACAGAAGAAAATGGACTGAAACAGGGAGGGACTAGGCCTATCTGGACTTGTCTAATAACTGGACTTGTCCATTGTGAACACAACCATGGACTTTAATGGTGATGAAACATTCCTCCCCGTTCCCCTGACTGTGTAGCACATGGAATCACTGCCAGGTAGTATTCACCTGCTTCTTCACACAACGTTTGGAGAGAACTGTGTCAACTCTCATACCAGTGTGTTTGTATAGATAAAACTGAAATATTTGAGTTATATTTTATGTTTATAACATGGTAAACACCATATGTGAGGGATTAAAGCTGGTAAGAAAAGCCATGCAAAGAAAGTGTTGATGAAAGGAGGAATTAATTTCAGAGAGGCTAGACCTGGGGGGTTATCACATGAACATACTCTATCTCATGGGCATGTTTTGAGTATTTTCATCAGATTTTAGGCTTGGACAGGGCACATGCTTTGCATTATGTTTTGTGCAATAAATGGTGAACTGTGATACTGAAGTCAGTCATTTTTGTTTATTTGTATAACTTCTTCCATTATCTCCAGATCACAAACTGAATTGTACTCCAGGGACAATAAATATCTATTCTATTCCAAATTGGAAATGGCATATTATGAATAATAATATATTATGAATAAAAAACACCAAATATTAACACATTGTTCATCATAAAGAAAGGAGGACCAAGGCTCTTCATATCAATTAAAAAGCCTTTATTTGTATTGTTCACTGGAAACAAAGATGAATGACTGACGCGTTTCGGCTGCATGGCCTTCGCCAGGGAGTACAAAGATACGATAATACAATGTCCTCTTTTGAACAGCTTTTTCCAATCAACCCTGATTTGAAGAGGGAGTGGTTACAGAATTCATTGGACAACACCTAGTAAACAATACTATACACATTCAAAAGTGAAATACTGTAGATATGTTATAAAAAAATGCATCTCAAGGCTAGGAGCATCAGAACCCCTAGAAAGGTAGTTCTAACCTTGAATATGACTGGGCAAAGTGTTAAGAATAGGAGCGCCATCTATTTTATAGTACACTAGAACACAGCAAACATGCACCACAACAGTCTAAACATAGCTGAACAAAATGTCCCCTAGATGACAGCAAAGGGACCTCTCACGACCCTACAGGAAAGGTAATAAATCCATATATTCATTCATCTTCAATCCCGACCTATTTGTAAGTCGCTCTGGATAAGAGCGTCTGCTAAATGACGTAAATGTAAATGTAAATGTTAAACCAGGGTACTTAGTGGCCTGTAGTTTGTAAATCCCAAAATGTTCCCTTTGGTTTAGCTGTTTAAGATGGTCCCCTTTTCTAATTGAGGCCAGATCATGATCAATACCCATAGCTTGTAGGGAAGCAGGGTGGTCATGGTGGAAGACTTGTAGTGCCTATAACACATTGTCCTTTTCTTTGAAAACCAAAGTAGAAACAAAAATCACATTATTTTACATGAAGTGGTATTCTCAGCTGTGAATGTTGCAATGGGTATATATAAACTTAACCAAGTGTTTTCAAAGAAACCCAATAGTCAATAGTGTGTGGTGCAACCAAATTATGAGTGTGTCTTTTCATGGTGTCTCGTCAGGTGATAATTTCGTGAAAAACTTTTCCCACACTGATCACACTTGTACTGTCTCTCTCCGTTGTGCAGCATTAGGTGAGCTTTCAGACTCTGAGGTCGACTGAAGCTTTTCCCACATTCAGGACAGGTACATGGTTTCACCCCAGTGTGTTTTCTCTCATGGCGCTTCAGATCCCCAGACTGACGGAAACTCTCTCCACACTCAGTACAAAGGAAAGATTTCTCCCCTGTGTGTATCCTCATGTGCACATTGAGATGTCCAGAGTGGCTAAAACACTTCTCACAGTAATGGCAGCGGTATGGCTTCTCTCCCGTGTGAATCCGCTGATGCTGCTTAAGGCTGTAGAAACAAGAGAAACCTTTCCCACAGTCATTGCACAAGTGCAGTTTGGCTGTGACTGACTGGAAACACCTGTGAGCTTTGAAGCTTTGAATGTACTCGTAGCTCTTTCCACACTGCAAGCACAGGTGGACCTCTCCTGCTTCTCTGGCCTTCTGCTCTGGCTGAATGAGCCCTGAGCCCAGGCCTGAGGCCTGAGAGACATACTCATCAGGGTGGTGTCTCTTAACGTGCTTCCGGAGGAACCTCTCCTCGGTAAAGGAGAACTGGCAGTAGGAGCAGGGGACAGCTTTAGAGCTCAGCTGGATGTTCTTACATACTTCAGCCTCCAGGTGACGCTGTAGACCGGCAGCCTGACTGAAGAACCTTCCACAGTGGGTGCAGCAATAAAGCATCTTTTCCTTCGGGTGCTTGTTGAGCTTGTGCTTCTTCAGGGTGGTGTACCGTTTGAAGGTAACCCCGCACATAGTGCAAGAGTACGGCTGCGGCCCCACCACGACCGGGATGCACTGATGGGCTTTAAGGGACTCTGGGTTGCCGTAGGTTCTCTGACAATCAGTGCATCTGTACTGGGCCTCTCCTACAGCATCTCTCTCCTCCTCCATGTCCGGAGCATCTGAATGGGACCTCTTCTTGATAATAGTTTCTCTTTGTTTCAGTGTGTTAGTTTTGGCTTTAGAGTTCCTGATGGACTTTACCCTGAGGTTCCTCAGTCTCTGTAAGGGAGCTCTCCCTGTCTGGGTCTCTGTAGGTGGATCAATGGACGGAGGTTTGGGTTCCCAGGCACTGTCAGAAGGAGGCGGGAGCGAACTCTCCCCTCTGACCTCTACTACTCCACGCTTCTTCTTCGTTCCGTGAACTCGTAGCTGGTGCCTCGCCAGGACGTACACCTGAGCGAAACACTTCCTGCACTGGGGGCAGCAGTAGGGTCTGACGGAGTTGACAGCTTGCATGTTTCTCTGGACGTGGCCCTTCTGTTTAAAGCTCTTAGGACGCTGAGGGCACCGGTAGCCCAACTCACCGAGAGAGGACGACATAGGGTCTGGGTCCATGTTACCGTTAGAAAGGTGATTGTCAAGCTCACTCAGTGCAGACGCAGGTGATAGGTCCAGGGGGTGTATTTGCTCTTTATGTCTTTGGAAGTAGGTCTCGGTGGTGAAAGAAAGCTGGCACTGACTACAAAGGAAAACCTGAGACGACAAATCTGCTGCAGAGAAAAGAAGAAGACAGAGTCTAATTAAACTAAAGGGACGTTCTTTAAACTTTTTAGAGAAATGTAATATTCCCTATTATTATCCCTTATACACCTCACAGAAGCCTTCTAGACGCCCAGTGCCAGAGCAAGGTTGTAACAGGAGACTGGGAATGAGTACCTGAAGGGGTGCTCTTTCGGAGCCAGATTTGGTCAGAGGGGTCCCTAAACCTGTCGATGAATCTGCCCCCAGGCCAAAACAAGAGCTCATCTCCTGGGAGGATGGAGCGGCAGCAGTGGAAGAAAACAATCCCCCTGTACTGGAGTGCTATGAGATTACCCTCCTCTACACTACGAGCACAGTTCACATACCTGAGAGAGAGATGAAGAGAGAGCACAATGTGACTAAGCACTCCATGACAGACAGACAGACAGACAGACAGACAGACACAGTGTAAAATAATTGAAGGTATGTTCTACAACACACGTTACCTCATCCAGTTGGAATGAGTGTCTCTTGCAGAATCAATGTACTCAGATTCACCCTTACTGTTCCAGACCTGAAAATAGATGAGCGATTTAATAAGAACAACACAGATAAATAATGTCAGCTGACCATGCTCACATAGAGACAATGGTCCAGAACGACATGGGATATGTTTTACACAAACTACAGTACAGTGTTGCATTCGTCAGTACTCACCTCCCAGGAGTAGTCACTTGTTACTGCGCTGTCCCTGGTAGTCACCTCCCCCTCACAGGGGCCAAAGTGCATTCCTGGGGCCACAACTGCCCCTTGGTTTAGAACCCCCAGGCCTGCCCCGGGGATACTGGACCTGCCCACCACCAGCCCGTGGGGTAAGGTGAGGAGGGCCCTCTGGGGTAAGCCCATTGGAGTGGGAGAGTCCAGCATGAAGGACAGACCACCTTGGATATCACACTGGTCTTTGTCGGAGGCATGACACTCCTCACAATCTGTAAAAATAAAAATACAAAGTGATAGGCCTAACTAAGATGACACAATCATGTGGTAAACTAAACTGGACATAACAAGGCCTTACACTTACTAACTGTAGATCTAAGCAACTATGATTTGAAAGATGCATGCAAAGACCATTGACGGCCTTGGAATTCAAGATAGTCAGAGTACACAGAACCGTTGTCACTCACAGAGGTCATTGCCATTGTCATCTAGTAGTGGATGATCCTCCTCTTGGCCTTGTACCACGGTGTTCACCAATACATTCTGGACCAGGCTGTCAGGAAACACTGTGACAACACAGATCCAGTGAGAAACAGCAGTACATGACAAACAGTCCTGACACAGAAGTACATTTCAAACACAATATGAAACTGACTGAATTCGGCTACTGTAGCCTGAGTACCACACCTGTAATGAGTTGGGCTTGACATCCCTCTTCTGATGCACCAGCCGCTGCCCACTCCATGATGATCACTTCTTCAGACATGACTGCAGGCTCTATAGTCTGTTCGTAGTGTAGAAAAATGACAGAATAGCAAGCACAACACAACAGCCATGATGTATCCAGACCAAACCGTTACCCTGTGTGTTAAGCTATGGCAACAACCATTTGTCCTGATACTATACCAATTTGACGAATTCATTTAACTGTGCAATGAACATTAGCTACTAACGAAAACAAAACATATCTGAATGTCATAATACAGAATGTTGTTAGATAGCTAGCAAGCTACAGAAAAAAATGCTAGCTAGCAATGTGGAATTAGCATTATCTAGCTAGCTAGCTACCATAATATTGTGTTTACAATGATGTTATGACAAACCTGGACAACCGGATCCGCCTGAAACCTGTAGCTAATTACTTGGTAATAATCTTAGTTATCGTCAAGGTACTAGTGTATGTTACTTTTGGAAAACTGATTTGACTTTTGTGGTAAAAGTTCATGGGTAGCTTGTAACAATGTTCGGATAGTGTTTGTTGCCCTTTTCATGAACCGGAAGTGAAAATCTTCCAAACGCTCGACTCTAAATGTTGACTTTTTACAATTATTATACATTTTTACAATTATCGATGACGCTTTAGTGACCAGAATAGTATTCATATGCTATCATACATATATATATATAATGTCTAAACTAATTTATAGCTTCTTCATATAAACAGAAATTGATTCTATATTCATCTGCGCCGCTGGTGTAGTGGTATCATGGAAGATTCCCATTCTTTCGACCCGGGTTCGATTCCCGGGCGGCGCACTGATTTTTACAATCTTGACACAAAACTGCAGAGCTGTGTTCCATGTTGCACTAAATGCACAATTAACAAAGTAATAATCTCTGTTTTCACTTTTCCTTCGTTTTCCATCTTCTGCAGCCAAATAGGCTATATTTTACAGCAGTAGCTGTCGCATGTGTCGCATGGCAACAACCAAGCAACAGAGACGCACTGAAGTTCCAGACAGGTTGCAGTGGAGCCAGTCGGAAAAAACTTTTTACTCACTGGCATTCTCGTCCGGTGCCAAAGTGTCGAGATTCTCGAAACTATCCAAAAAGTACTGCAAGTGACATAAGGGGAAAGATGTTACCTATACCAGGTCACGACAGAAGCCAAGTGTTCCAGAATATATTTTTATTTCACCTTTATTTAACCAGGTAAGCCAGTTGAGAACAAGTTCTGATTTACAACAGCGACCTGGCCAAGATAAAGCAAAGCAGTGCGATAAAAACAACAACACAGAGTTACATATGGGGTAAAACAAAACATAAAGTCAAAAATACAACAGAAAAAATATATACAGTGTGTGCAAATGTAGCAAGTTATGGAGTTAAGGCAATAAATAGGCCATAGTGCAAAATAATTACAATTAGTATTAACACTGGAATGATAGATGTGCAAGAGATGATGTGCAAATAGAGATACTGGGGTGCAAATTAGCTAAATAAATAACAATATGGGGATGAGGTAGTTGGGTGGGCTAATTTCAGATGGGCTGTGTACAGGTGCAGTGATCGGTAAGGTGCTTTCGAAAGGCAGGGCAGGATGGATATAGGTCTGTAACAGTTTGGATCTAGTGTCACCCCCTTTGAAGAGGGGGATGACCACGGCAGCTTTCCAATCTCTGGGGATCTCAGACGTTAGGAAAGAGAGGTTGAACAGGCTAGTAATAGGGGTTGCGACAATTTCGGGCAAGTTGGGCAAGTTGCAGCGGAGGGTGCAGAGCTGGTGGCCGGGGTAGTGGTAGCCAGGTGGAAAGCATGGCCAGCCGTAACAAAATGCTTGTTGAAATTCTCGATTATTGTAGATTTATCGGTGGTGATAGTGTTTCCTAGCCTCAGTGCAGTGGGCAGCTGGGAGGAAGTGCTCTTATTCTCCATGGACTTTACAGTGTCCCAAAACTTTTTGGAGTTAGTGCTACAGGATGCAAATTTCTGTTTGAAAAAGCTAGCCTTTGCTTTCCTAACTGCTTGTGTATATGGTTCCTAACTTCCCTGAAAAGTTGCATATCGCGGGGGCTATTTGATGCTAATGCAGTACGCCACAGGATGTTTTTGTGCTGGTCAAGGCCAGTCAAGTATGAGGAGAACCAGGGGCTATATCTGTTCTTAGTTCTGTATTTTTTGAATGGGGCTTGTTTATTTAAGATTGAGAGGAAATTACTTTTTAAGAACAACCAGGCATCCTCTACTGACGGAATCAGATCGATATCCATCCAGGATACCTGGGCCAGGTCAATTAGGAAGGCCTGCTCGCTAAAGTGTTTTAGGGAGCGTTTGACTGTGATGAGGGGTGTGTCAGGGATTCTGCCGAGACTGCCCTTCCTTCTGGCTCGGGCAGGCTTCGGCGTTCGTCATCACCGGAGTACTAGCTGCTGCCGCTCTATGTTATATGTTTCTATGTTCACTTGATTGTTGTCTGTTGTTGCACACCTGTTCCCTATTATGTTAGATTGTCTTCCTATTTAACCTGTTTACGTCTACTGTTTGGTGTGCGTGTTTATTGGATTGTACGAGTGTCATTTTGTGAGCGGGTTTTGCGCCTCCTTTGTTGTTTGGAGGGTTTTGCTTGTAATTCTTTACTACTCAGTAAAGTGGTTCTTCATCTCATTCTGTGTCCTGCGCTCGACTCTGGCCTACCGCATTCCACCGACATTCGTGACAGGGTGGTCGTTTGACCGCGGACCCGTTACGGACGCAGGCAATAAGGCAGTGATCGCTGAGATCCTGGTTGAAGACAGCGGAGGTGTATTTAGAGGGTAAGTTAGTCAGGATGATATCTATGAGGTTGCCCATGTTTACGGATTTAGGGTTGTACCTGGTAGGTTCGTTGATAATTTGTGTGAGATTGAGGGCATCTAGTTTGGATTGTAGGATGGCCGGAGTGTTAAGCATATCCCAATTTAGGTCACCAAGCAGTACGAACTCTGAGGATAAATGGGGGGCAATCAATTTACATATGGTTTTCAGGGCACAGCTGGGGGCTGAGGGGGGTCTGTAGCAAGCGGCAACAGTGAGAGACTTATTTCTGGAAAGGTGGATTTTTAGAAGTAGAAGCTCAAACTGTTTGGGCACAGACCTGGATAGTATGATAGAGCTCTGCAGGCTATCTCTACAGTCGATTGCAACTCCACCCCCTTTGGCAGTTCTATCTAGACGGAAAATGTTGTAGCTGCTAGTATGATAGAGCTCTGCAGGCTATCTCTACAGTCGATTGCAACTCCACCCCTTTTGGCAGTTCTATCTAGATGGAAAATGTTGTAGCTGCTTCTATGAGGCTGTCAACATGCAACATGAGACTGACATCGACACCATAGATGGAGGCCATGAGACATGCCATGATCCAGAGTTCTGTGAGTGTGGCTGTTTTTTGTGTTTTGTGTTTTTTTTGCCATCAGGAATGAATATCAGTATAGGCATCGGTCAACCTGTAAGGTGGTCAGTGGTTACCTGTGTTACTGAATGGTTAAGATAAGAATGCCACGTTTGATTAATGAAAGTAGACTACAATGATCATTGACATTTTGGTTGGTCTCAACTTTGTGCACTTTTCAAAGTTCACCATTTCCAGTCCGCTCCTTATTTTCAGCCAAGAGCTGCCAACTCCATGCAGCTCCATGGATGACGGTGGGTCCCAGCCCTAGGTCAGCAGGCTTGCAGGGCTTTGGCAGTGTGTGTTTGGGGATGGTGAAGGAGGATAGTGACTCAGACTCCACCTGCTCAGATGACCCTGCTCTGATGGTGGTCCCTCGGTCCTCCACCTCTCTGTCTGGGGTCAGCTGATACAGAGACTTCATCTGGGGTCTCCCTGTTTATCTTGCAAAGAGGATTTTAGGAGACACCCAGGAGACACCTTACCTTAGGTCCAGGGCTCAGTTATGACTCCCATGGTGGGCCAATCCAAGCACGTTATTCATATGTTCATGGTAACTAAATAAATATGTACAAAAACACACTACAAAAAGGCCCAACTAAACAAACAAAGACAAGCTGAGAAGCTTCCTGCCACGTCTCTCACACTGAGTCACAATCATCTTGATCGCTCGCAAGGCTTCCTGGCAGAACACAGACATGAGCCGGTTGGTGCTGCCAATTGGAGATGGAGTGTAGAAGTGTATCATGGTAGTGTGTCTATGTTCTAACACTAACCTTCCCCCCATATCATAACACCTATGAAAAAGTACTGCACTATATAGGGAATAGGGTGCCATTTGGGACATAGCCGCAGCTTGTACGATGTGCTTGTGGATCAAAGTGAATATTGTAACTAGTGTAATCTAGCTATCTGATTTATTCATGCCAGTTTAACAAGTGTTAGATAACCAGTGTCAACGCTGCATAAGGATGAGTTGTGTTCTAGAAAGGAGGATAAAGTGCCCATTAGAATTAGAATTAGAATCTATATAGTATACAGTATATTATTAAACTGAAATTCCAAGCCCACATTTTCTCATTGCTTTTTTGGAATGAGTGTAAAGACATAGAAAAATAGGATTACTAGAATGGGAATTTATATTCAAGTCAATGAGACCATAATGGGTGGGTTGGACCTGTTTTACTTAATTCTATAGCTAAAGTCCCCATACTATACACTCTTAGAAAAATAGGTGCGATCTAGAACCAAAAAGGGTTTTTCGGCTGCCCCCATAGGAGAACGCTTTGAAGAACCGGGAGACCCATGAGGCGGTGCACAATTGGCCCAGTGTCATCCGGGTTAGGGGAGGGTTTGGCAGGCTGGGATATCCTTGTCCAATTGCGCTCTAGCGACTAATTGTGGTGGCCGGCCACATGCATGCTGGCTTCGGTCGCCAGCTGTACGGTGTTTCCTCTGACACATTGGTGCGGCTGGCTTCCAGGTTAAGCGAGCAGTGTGTCTATCTATCTATCTATCTATCTATCTATCTATCTATCTATCTATCTATCTATCTATCTATCTATCTATCTATCTATCTATCTTATCTATCTTATCTATCTTATCTATCTTATCTATCTTATCTATCTATCTACACAATAAAAAAGTATGAATTTACCTCTCGAAGAGATTGAATTACTTCATGGACATTGGATGGAATCGTTTTCCTGCAACTGATTACAACTGCCACAGAATATTTACTGATAAACAGGAGGAAGGAAAACAAATCTCACGCGAGAAGGCATGAATGGCAGCGGTTTATCAAAGGAAGGTATGCTGCTATGCCCGATTACGTGCCGCTGTTTTACGTTTTATGATGTGTTTACACCTTAAGCTACCGCAGCATGTTGAATGGACTTTGGTGGAAGAATTGCTGATTTTAATTTTATGAACGCTGGAACAGATATACGTGTCTGTATTGGACAATTATGGAAGGTGTGTGTTTGTCACACGTTTTTGGACATGCAGTCCCACCTGCGGTAGAGTGGCTTTCAAGAACATTTAATATAGGTTAGCCACTACAAAAGCAGAAACTATCAGAGTTGAAACCTTTCAAATGTATATTATCTTTGACTGTATGCTCTCTAGCTGCATGTACATCCCTACTTCCTGGTTACCTGTGTACCATACATCATGTGACCAGTGACCCCATGACCCAACATGTACAGTAGTGGTCTCTAGTTTAGGCTACAAATGAAGTGAAATCTAAAGACAGACAAACTACACAACACATGACAACAACCATATAAGTACACCAAAAGCGCGATCAAACCTCAATCAAGAAGACTAAACATAAGGTAGGCTATAATGTCTTTATAAAACATCTATGTTGTAAATGGTTAACTAGGCCTACTTGTTAACCGAAAGCCACTTCTGTATCTGACATGCTCTGTAGGCCTAAGGGTATTATGCTACAACTTTCACATTATGTTAGTAGCCTACAGTAATCCCTCCCTTCAAAAACCCTCTATTGTCTGAGAAACGTATTCTCCAGAGATGCTGTAATGGTAAGCAGATATCTGGTACAAGGTTACTGTGGACTTCACTGCTCTCAAAGTTCAATCCTGGCGGAGGAGCTATGAGGTCATTAGAATGAGACCAGTTGGTTGAATTGTCCTTTCCAACAAACCAAAGCCATTTAACCAACCACCTGCCTTCTGGCCCAAGTGCCTTTGGGGCATCATTAGGGTAGAGGAGGAGGAGATTTGGAGAGGGTAGGTTGGACTCTTCTTTTGACTACAGCAGCAGAACAGCTGGGAACTATAGCAGAGAGAGGAGAAAGAGGTAGAGAGAGGAGAAAGAGGTAGAGAGAGGAGAAAAAAGGTAGAGAGAGCAGAAAGAGATGGAGAGGGTAGGGGCAGGAGAAGAGGAGAACACACCTCCTTCAGAGATTATCCTCATTCAGAGGCAGCCCTGCATCAATAGAACATCCCTTTTCCCTAGGTGTGGAAGCCCTTGTCCCATCAGGCAGTGTTTCCCCAGGTATGGAAGCCCTTGTCCGATCAGGCAGTGTTCCCCCAGGTATGTAAGCCCTTGTCCGGTCAGGCAATGTTCCCCCGGGTATGGAAGCCAAGTGGTCCGGTCAGGCAGTGTTCACCCAGGTATGGAAGCCCTTGTCCGATCAGGCAGTGTTCCCCCAGGTATGGAAGCCCTTGTCCGATCAGGCAGTGCTCCCCCAGGTATGGAAGCACTTGTCCGATCAGGCAGTGCTCCCCCAGGTATGGAAGCCCTTGTCCGATCAGCCAGTGCTCCCCCAGGTACGGAAGCCAAGGGGTCCAGGGTCATCAGAGCCACGGGGAAATAACGAGGGTGAATTCAAAGCAAAGGTAGAAAATCAAATCAAACTGAAATTGTATTGGTCATATACATGTGTTTAGCAGATGTTATTGCGGGTGTAGCGAAATGCTTGTGTTTCTAGCTCCGACAGTGCAGTAGTATCTAACAAGTAATATCTAACTATTTCACAACATCAAATCAAATCAAATTTTATTGGCCACATGCGCCGAATACAACAGGTGCAGACATTACAGTGAAATGCTTACTTACAGCCCTTAACCAACAGTGCATTTATTTTTTATAAAAAGTAAATTAAAACAACAACAAAAAAGTGTTGAGAAAAAAAAAGAGCAGAAGTAAAATAAAATAACAGTAGGGAGGCTATATATACAGGGGGGTACCGGTGCAGAGTCAATGTGCGGGGGCACCGGCTAGTTGAGGTAGTTGAAGTAATATGTACATGTGGGTAGAGTTAAAGTGACTATGCATAAATCATAAACAGAGTAGCAGCGGCGTAAAAAGATGGGGTGGGGGGTGGGGGTGGGGGTGGTGGGGCAGTGCAAATAGTTTGGGTAGCCATGATTAGCTGTTCAGAAGTCTTATGGCTTGGAGGTAGAAGCTGTTGAGAAGTCTTTTGGACCTAGACTTGGCACTCCGGTACCGCTTGCCGTGCAGTAGCAGAGAGAACAGTCTATGACTAGGGTGGCTGGAGTCTTTGACAATTTTGAGGGCCTTCCTCTGACACCGCCTGGTATAGAGGTCCTGGATGGCAGGAAGCTTGGCCCCAGTGATGTACTACCCTCTGTAGTGCCTTGCGGTCGGAGGCCAAGCAGTTGCCATACCAGGCGGTAATGCAACCAGTCAGGATGCTCTCGATGGTGCAGCTGTAGAATTTTTAGAGGATCTGAGGACCCATGCCAAATCTTTTCAGTCTCCTGAGGGGGAATAGGCTTTGTCGTGCCCTCTTCATGACTGTCTTGGTGTGTTTAGACCATGATAGGTCGTTGGTGATGTGGACACCAAGGAACTTGAAGCTCTCAACCTGTTCCACTACAGCCCCGTCAATGAGAATGGGGGCGTGCTCAGTCCTCTTTTTTTTCCTGAGTCCACAATCATCTCCTTTGTCTTGGTCACGTTGAGGGAGAGGTTGTTATCCTGGCACCACACGGCCAGGTCTCTGACCTCCTCCCTATGTGTCGTCGGCAAACTTAATGATGGTGTTGGAGTCGTGCCTGGCCATGCTGTCATGGGTGAACAGGGAGTACAGGAGGGGACTGAGCACGCACCCCTGAGGGGCCCCCGTTTTGAGGATCAGTGTGGCAGATGTGTTGTTACCTACCCTTACCACCTGGGGGCGGCCCGTCAGGAAGTCCAGGATCCAGTTGCAGAGGGAGGTGTTTAGTCCCAGGATCCTTAGCTTAGTGATGAGCTTTGAGGGCACTATGGTGTTGAATGCTGAGCTGTAGTCAATGAATAGCATTCTCACGTAGATGTTCCTCTTGTCCAGGTGGGAAAGGGCAGTGTGGAGTCCAATAGAGATTGCATCATCTGTGGATCTGTTGGGGCAGTATGCAAATTGGAGTGGGTCTAGGGTTTCTGGGATAATGGTGTTGATGTGAGCCATGACCAGCATTTCAAAGCACTTCATGGCTACAGACGTCAGTTCTACAGGTCGGTAGTCATTTAGGCAGGTTATCTTAGTGTCCTTGGGCACGGGGACTATGGTGGTCTGCTTGAAACATGTTGGTATTACAGACTCAGTCAGGGACATGTTGAAAATGTCAGTGAATACACTTGCCAGTTGGTCAGCACATGCTCGGAGTACACGTCCTGGTAATCCGTCTGGCCCTGCGGCCTTGTGAATGTTGACCTGCTTAAAAGTCTTACTCACATTGGCTACGGAGAGCGTGATCACATAGTAATCCGGAACAGCTGGTGCTCTCATGCATGCTTCAGTGTTGCTTGCCTCGAAGCGAGCATAGAGGTGGTTTAGCTCGTCTGGAAGTCTTGTGTCACTGGGCAGCTCGCGGCTGTGCTTCCCTTTGTAGTCTGTAATAGTTTTCAAGCCCTGCCACATCCGACGAGCGTCAG